TGCTGAAATCTGAGACTCGGTGCACTCCAACCAACTGGCGTGCTGCAACTGTATGGACCCCACTTCGTGAAATGTTGGCACAGAGGGCTCTTGTTTGTACATCATGGCAAGGCCCCTACTTGAGGGCTCAATCCTCACATTCCATCCCCCTTAGCTTCGAAAGTCCGCTGAGATGCTTACTATGCAGGTGCCTTCCCTTTTAGCTTCCGTTCATAATCTGCCACCACCTGAGGAGCTGTTTCCATCAGTTCCTCCCGGGTAAACCACCGATCTTCTTTCGGATCCGTATGATGCCTGAATCTGATCCGGTACTCTCTCTTGGGTTTAGGAGGTCTTCCTCGACCCAGCGGCTTCGGAACAGGCATATCCCTGTGATCCACAATATCGTCGATGTCGACTTGTCCATCCATGGTTGGGGGCAGCATCGATCTCCTGGAAGGGAATTGATCAGTCTCAGCGAAAGGTGCAAGCTTTGAGGCATGAAAGACTGGGTGAGTGCGTAGATGTCCAGGGACACGAATGACATATGTGGGACCATCCAACTCATCTCCCACTACATCCAAGACTTCCAGGGACCAAAGTACTGAGGCATTAGTTTGCGAGATATTCCGAATTCCTGTCCTAACTCGCTGGCCTTGACCCAGACACATTCCCCTACCTGAAATGTGGACTGTCTGCGATGTTGATTCTCAGAAGCAATCATGGCTTGCTGAGCTTTCTTCATATGTTCAGCAGCATCTTGCAACAATTTCTCATATTGCACACCGTATTCAAGTGTGCCTGGAGTTGCAGCGGGTCGGTTTTCAGGTAGGAGGAAGTCTAATGCTGATCTAGGCTTCCATCCTAAGTGCAGCTGGTTAGGACTAACCCCGGTACTGCTATGTATAGCATTGTTGTACAAGCTGGCGATGAGAGGTAACTGCTCATTCCAGTCATCCTGGCTGGGCTTGCTGTAATGCCTCAGCAAGTGCTGATGTAATGCCTCAGCAAGTGCTGATGTAATGCCTCAGCAAGTGCTGTACAACTCTATTCATTTGTTCGGCCTGTCCGTTGGCTTCGGGATGATTCCCTGAAGTCATTTGAAGTTGACTGCCCATCTGTTCCGCGGTCTTCTTCCACAACTCACTTGTGAATCGGACGTCTCAGTCACTAATGATGGTCTTTGGTAAACCAAAGTCCCTTACCCAGTTGTCCTTGAACAACTTGATGACGTATTCTGTCCA